ATCAAAGAGTTAATCAGGACTATGCCTGGATAAAATGAAATACCATTTAGCTAAAATTTTCAGTGTAAACCATCTTACTTTTTTACCCTCCCTGAAGACTGCCTTGCCTATTGCAGAATGATAAGTAGAACTAACCTTTGCAAAGTACTGGGATTCTGGCACTTTTTAACAGCTGATAATAACTTTCAAATAGCAGCCTACACTACTCAACCTCAAAACCTATTACATAACCACAGTAATCAAAAGGGTATGGTACTGGTACAATGATAGGTATATAGACCCATAGAAAGGAATAGAGAACCTGGAAATTTATTCAACTATACATAACTGATCCTTTGCATAGGGCTCAAAAAAACATTAAATGGCAAAGAGACAGTCTCTTCAAAAAGTGGTGCTGATAACATTGAATCTCTGCATAAGAATGACACAAGGTCCGCACCTTACCCATGTACAAAAAACGAAATCAAGATGGATCAAAGACCTAAACGTAAACCTCAGCACTATAAAAATCATGAGTGAGAAAATAGGGACAAACTTAAGGGCCCTATTGCTGGTCATAGACATACTATCAAACATAACAAAGGAAGCACACACAGAAGACAAAGTAGTTGACTGGAACCTACTAAAAATAAGACACGTGACACGTGTGTGCATCAAAAGACTTCATGAAAAGAATAAAAAGAGAGCCACTGACAGGGAAAAAAAATCTTTGGCAATGACACAGGGACTACTCTCTCAAAACTAAGACTCCCATAAAAAAAACAACAACTAAAAAGTGGGCAAAGGACACATAAAAAGACAGTTCATCAGAAATGATGTCCAAATGACTAGCAAACATGAAAAAAATGCTCATCATCAATAGCCATCTGGGAAAAGCAAATCAAAACAACAGTGAGCTAACACCTTACAGGGATAATAACAGCCCAGTTAAAAATACAGAAAACAGCAAATGCTGGAGTAGCTATAGAGAGATTGGAACCCACATTTACTGCTAGTCAGCTGTAAATATGTAGAACCACTGTGGAAAGTGAGATGGTACTACCTCAAACTTGGAACAGAAATTCCTTATGATCCAGCAGTACCTCTGCTGGGTGTATACCATGAAGTCAGAGCTGTAATAGGAACAGACATATGCACTCCATGTTCTTTGTAGCACTGTTCACAATAACATGCATTTGGAAACAGCCCAAAATCAAGGCCCAGCAGTAGAAGAATGGATAACGAAACTTTGTTACATGCATACAATGGAATATACACACAGCTAAAAAGCAGTGATGGAACTATGAAGCACTTCATGACATAGACGAACCTGGAGAGCATTATGCTTAGTGAAGTTAGTCAATCACAAAAGGACAAATATTATTTGAGACCACGACAGTTAAGGTTAAAACAAAACAAGAAAAGACTTGAGTACCAAAGAGAAAACACTTTGGAGGGTACCAAGGAGGTGATGGCAGCTGTGGGAAGATGGTGCAACAGACTAGAAGGTTGACTCATACTGACGTGGGTGAAAGGGAGGATGGAGGTCCACAAGAGAGAAGAAAAATTCGGGGCTTGGAGTAGGATAACATCTGGTTTGAAATGTGGAATGCAGGATTAATAGGCTGAAAAGTAAATCCCCCAATCAATTCACAAATCAAAAACCAAAAAAACCTAACGGTACTGGAGGGGGGAAAAAAGGCTTGCAAAACAAATCCAAACACATTGCTGTCAAGTAAATTCCGACTCAAAAGAGCCTGCAAAATGGTATTAAATGCTTTTAAATAGAAGTCAGGAGGCAGCATTGTTGTATCACTGACAGACCACAAATGTGGTTCCAGTGTGCAAACATTTCCCATTTTTAAGTTGACCAGAATTCAGGATACATTTTCGCGACCTCTCTAGAATGGAGAAATAGGGGTGGGGAATCTTTTTTCTGCCAAGGGACATTTGGATATTTATAACATTTGCAGCTATCTCAGTCAAAAACTTAATTCACAGCTAATGTAACTCTCACTACGGTGGCTGCAGGAGAAAGATTAGGCTTCCTACTCCTGTAAAGTGTTAGAAACTCACAGGGGTAGCTCTACCCTGTATCCAATAGGGTTATTACAAGTTAGAATTGACTTGATGGCAGTGAGTTTGAGTTTGAATGTGATGGCTGCAACGGTTTCTCTTTAGTGAAACATGATATTAGCTAGTATTAATAAATTCACTGGCTTTATATGCCCAAGGGCCAAATATTCCCCACCTCTCCTCTAGACCATGGGTGCCCAAACTTTGGCTTACCATCTCATTTTCAGAAAAAAGAAAAAAATACATGTATCACAATTTAAAATGGGTGAAGTATAGGTATCTGCTTTTGCAGCACTAACTTTTCCCCTAACCTCTGTTCATATCATGATTTCTTTGGTCAAGTTTATTTCTGTTATAGTAAGAGAAGGTGACCCACTGGTGCAATGGGTTAAGCACTGAACTCTGTTAACCACCAGGTTGGTGGTTCAAACCCGCCAATCCCTCCACTAGAGAAAAATGAGGTAATTTTCTTCTGCAAAGATTATGGTCTTGGCAATCAGAGCATTTCTGCTCTGTCCCGTGAGGTCAGGATGAGTCAGAATGAAATGGATGGCAGTGGGGTTTTGTTTGTTTTAATACTAAGAATTATTCCAGTACATTCTTTTTCACCAGTCGGGGTATTCAGAAATTGGTAAACTCTGATGAACACAGATATTCTGTATAAAGAAAGATTTCTTACATCTTTCTACTCCCGGATGTTTTGCATACGGCATAAAGAAATACTGATGTCTGCAGGGACAGGAAGTCCAAATTACAGCTTTCTTCTGTTTCACTGTATGAATCATTGGTGCATTGAGTCTGTCCCACCTTATACTTATAAAGAGAAGAATACAGCTTTTATAATTTTACTTTGTACAGCACAGAGGTTTGGTGAAAATATTGAGCTCTTTGAAAGATTGTTTGGTTTTATAATTATAGCACATAGCACAGGGCCCAGCACATGTAAGATGGCTGGTGTTTGTTGAATGAACGAATGAATGAATGAATAATTACTTGACCTTCCTCAACTGCTTTAAATTGCATCATCTTTCTGAAATTAGGGTAATTTGATAAATATACTATTTCTTATAACAATTTAAAAATTGAATCATGGATTTCAGAGTGAGTTACTTTTGTAGTTACTTTGCTTTTTCTTTCAAGAGACCATGCACGTTCTGAAACTAGATGGGATGAACTACTTGCTGGAAGGAGATCTGCTGGTGCACTGGTTAAGCACTCCGCTGCTAATCAGAAGGGTGGCTCCTCAAACCTACCCGCCACTCCTTGGGAGAAAGATGGTGGTGGTCTGCTTCTGTAAAGATTGCAGCCTTGGAAGCCTGTGAGGCAGTCTCCTCTGCCCTGTAGGGTTAATGTGAGTCGGAATCACTGAAAGTGGCAAAGGTTTGGTTTGGTAGAGCTGTCAGGCTACAAGAAAGCAGTTGTTTTTTGGTGCAGTGGGATGATTAGCAGAACAAAGAGATTGCCAGACTGAATTAAATTGCTGAAGAGCAAACTATAATTTTCCAAGTTAAAAACAATAAAACCGACTCAATTATTTAAAATAAGTGCTGTCTTATACATGGCTTTATTGCAAACCCCACACAAGTATTTAGTCTTGTTCTTCTTCATAGTAGCAATAAATATAGCATAATTTATAAGATCATGGGATTTATAAGATCAGGGAGACCTATTTTAAGCCCTGCTCCACTGCTTAATCCTGTGTCATCGTGATCAAGCTACTTACTTTCTTTTTTTAAAAATGTAAATCATTTTATTGGGGGCTCGTACAGTTCTTATCACAATCCATACATACATCCATTGTGTCACGCACATATGTACATTTGTTGCCATCATCAGTCTCTAAACATTTGCCTTCCTCTTGAGCCCTTAATACCGGCTCCTCATTTCCCCCC